AATTCTTTGAAATTACTGATAACAGTGATGCAACTTATCACAACTCCTGAAACAAAGCAGAAGCCACGCTAAGAAAAAAGTTTACAGCACTAAATGCCTACATCGAAATGTCTGAAATCTCACAAATAGACAAACTAACAACACATCTCAAGGAACTAGAGAAAGAAGAACAAACCAAACCCAAAGCTAGCAGAAGAAAAAAAAAGTGACAAAGATCAGAGCAGAACTAAATGAATTAAAACTAAAAAATAAAAAACACAATACCAAAGATCAATGAAACAGAAAACTGTTTTTTCAAAAGACAACATCAATAGACTATTAGGTACATTAACCCAGAAACAAAGAGAACAGATTCAAATAAGCTTAATTGAAAATGAAAGTGAAGACTTACAACCAATAGCACAGAAGTATAAAAATCCATTTGAGATTACTATGAACACCTCTATGTACTCAAACTAGAATATCTAGAGAAAATCAATAGATTCCTGGAAACATACAACCCTCCTAGCTTGAATTAGAAATAGAAATCCTGAACACACCAATAGCAAGCAGTGGTGATATTGAATCAGTAATACAAAATTTGCCAAAAATAAGCCCAAAGCCAGATGGATTCACATGCAAATTCTACCCAACATTTGAAGAACTGGGTGTTACTGAAACTGCTTCAAAAGACTGAGAAAGAGCAAATATTCCCTAATTCATTCTATGAAGCCTGTATATCCCCAATACCAAAGCCAAGAAGGGACATGATAAGAAGAAGAAAACAACAGACCCATATCCCTGACAAACACAGATGCAAAAATACTCAACAAAATACTAGCTAACCAAATTCCACATTAAAAAGTTAATTAACCGTGATCAAGTGAGTTTTGTCCCAGGGATGCAGGGATGGTTCAACACATGCAAGTCAATAGATTCAGAAAAAGCATTTGATAAATTCTATCATCCCTTTATGATAAAAACCCTCAACAAGCTAAGCATAGAAGGGATGTACCTCAAGATAATAAAAGCCATATATAAAAATCCCACGGCCAGCACTATACTGAATAAGGAAAAATTGAAATAATTCCCTGACAACAGGAATGCGACAAGGATGCCCACATTCAACACTTTTATTCGACATAGTACTGGAAATACTAGCCAGAACAATCAGATAAGAGAAAGAAATAAAGGGCACCCAAATTGGAAAACAGGAAGTCAAACTATCTCTGTTTGCTGATATGATTGTGTACCAAGAAAATGATTGTATACCAAGAAAACCCCAAAGACTCCTCCAAAAAATCTCCTAGGTTTGATAAATGAATTCAGTAAAGTCTCAGGTTATAAAGTCAATATACATAAATCAGTAGCACTGCTATACACCAACGACGACTAAGCACAGAATCAAATCAATAACTCACTTCATTTTGCAACAGCTGGAAAAAAATAAAATGAAACACCTAGGAGTATTAACCAAAGAGGCGAAAAAAATAATAGATGACACAAACAAATGGAAATATATCCCATGCTTGTGTGGTGAAGAAGAAACAGTTACACACTGCTGGTAAGAATGTAAATTAGTAAAACTTTTCATGGAAAGGAGTATGTAGATTTTTCAAATAACTAAAAGTAGATCTACCATTTCATCCAGCAATTCCACTACTAGATATCTACCCAAAGGAAAAGAAGCCGTTATATCAAAAAGAAATCTGCACATGTATGTTTATTGCAGCAGAATTCATAACTGTGAAGACATGAAACCAACCTAAGTGCCCATCAACTGATGAGTGAATAATTAAAATGTTATATATATATATACACACACACACACACACATACCAAGGAATACTACTCAACCATAAAAAAGAATGAAATAATGTAATCTTCAGCAACTTGGATGAAACTGGAGGTCATTATTCTAAGTGAAGTAACTCAGGAATGAAAAACCAAACACTGTATGTTCTCACTTATAACTGGGAACTAAGCTATGGGTATGCAAGGACATACAGAATGGTTTAATGGACACTGGAAACCCAGAAGAGGGGAGAGTTGGAGGAGGATTAAGGACAAAAAATTACATATTGGGTACAATGCACAGTATTTGGGTGACAGGTGCACTAAAATCTCAGACTTCCTCACTATATAATTCGTCCATGTAACCCAAAATCACTTGTACCCCTATTGCTATTGAAAATTTTAAAAAGAACCAAAAAATAAAATTAAAAATTAAGAAAAAGAAATAAACAATCTGAATAGGCTTATATCTATTAATGATATTGAATCAATAACTAATAACCTTCCAAAACAGACATCACCAGGCCCTGATGGGTTCGCTGGTGAATTCCACAAAACATTTAAGGAAGGAATTTTATCAATCCTGTATAATTTCTTTCAAATTATAGAAGCAGAGGAAATACTTCCTACCAAATTCTATCAGGCCAGCATCACCCTAATACCAAAAACCAGGCAAAGACACTAGAAGAGAAGAAAACTACAGATCAATATCTCTAATGAACATAGATGCAAAAATTCTCAACAAAATACTAGCAAATCAAACCCAATGTATAAAAATAAGTATACACCTCAATCAAGTGAGATTTATTCCAAGTATGCAAGGCCGGTACAACATTAGAATATCAATTAATGTAATCCATACCATCAACAGGTTACAGAAGAAAAATCACATGATCATATCATTAGATGCAAATAAAACATCTGACAAAATCCAACATCTATTCATAATTTTTTTAAAATCTTAGAAAACTAGGAAATGAGGGGAACTTCCTTAACTTAATAAGAATATCTATTTTAAAATCCCTGTAACTAACATCATGTTTAATGGTAAGAAAATAGAATCTGTCTCATTAAAATCAGGAACAGGGCAAGGATGTCCGTGAGCAAGGATGACCCTCTTGGCATCCTTTTCAATATCATACTGGACGTCCTAGCTAATGCAATGAGACAAGAAAATGAAACAAAAGGAATACTAATTGGGAAGGATGAAACAACATTGTTTTTGTTCATCGATTACATGATTGTTTATGCAGAAAATCTGAAAGAATCAATGAAAAAGCTGGAACTAATAAGCAATTATAGCAAAGTTGAAGGACACAAGGTTAATATACAAAAGTCAATCACTTTTCTATAAAGCAGCAATGAACAAGAGGAATTTGAAATTATTAACACAATCCCATTTACATTGGCATGAAATACTTAAGTAGAAATTCCATTTACATTAGCATGAAATACTTAAGTGGAAATCTAACAAAATATGTACAAGATTTATATGACGAAAACTACAAAATTCTGATGAAATCAACGAAGAACTACATAAATGGAAAGGTGTTCCATATTTATGGATAGGAAGACCCAATATTATCACGATGTCAGTTCTTCCCAATCTATAGATTCAATGCAATCCCAATCAAAATCCCAGCAAATTACTTTGTGGATATCAACAAACTCATTCTAGAGTTTTTATGGAGAGGCAAAATATCCAGAACACCACAATATTAAAAAAGAACAATGTTGGAGGACTGACACTACCCAATTTCAAGACTTACTATAAAGCAACAATAATCAAGACACTGTGATATTGATGAAATAACAGACAAACAGATCAGTGGAAAAAATAGAAAACCCGGAAATAGAAACAGACCTACATAAATAAAATCTCCTGATCTTTGACAAAGGGGTAAATGCAATACAATGGAGAAAATATCTTGTTTTATTCCTTTTTTTTTTTTTAAAGACAGAGTCTTGCTCTATGGCCCAGGTTGGAATGCAGTGATGCAATATCGGCTCACTGCAACCTCTACCTCCTGGGTTCAAGTGATTCTCCTGCCTCAGCCTCCTGAGTAGCTGGCATTACAGGCGCATGCCATCATGCCCAGCTAATTTTTGTATTTTTAGTAGAGAGAGCGTTTCACCATGTTGGCCAGGCTTGTCTCAAACTCCTGACCTCAGGTGATCCAACGGCCTTGGCCTCCTAAAGTGCTAGGAAGGATCATCATTTTTACAAATGGTTCTGGAACAACTGGCCATCCACACGCAAAAAAATAAATCTAGACACAGACCTTAAACTCTTCATAAAAATTAACTCAAAATGGATCACAGGCCTAAATACAAAACACAAAACTCTATAACTCCCAGAATGTAACATATGTGAAAATTCAGATAAACTTGGGTTTGGTGATGGCTGATGGAACACCAAAGACACAATCCATGAAAGAAAGAATTAATAAGCTGGACTTCATTAAAATAAAAAATTGCTCTGCTAAAGACACTATCAAGAGAATAAACAGGCCACACACTGAAAGAAAATATTTGCAAAAGACACATGATAAAGAGCTGTAATCTAAAATACACAAAAATTCTTTAAAATTAAATAATAAGAAAGCAAGCATCTCAAAAAAAGGGCTAAAGACCTGAATAGACACCTCACCAAAGAAGATATATAGATGGCAAATAAACATATGAAAAGATGCTCCACACTATATGTCATCAGGGATGTGCAAATTAAAACAATGAAATACCACTACAGAATTTTCCAATGGCCAAAATCCAGAACACTAACCTCACCAAATTCTAGCAAGGATATAGAGCAACAGGAACTCTCAGTCATTTCTGCTGGAAACACAAAATGGTACAGCTACTATTGAAGACACTTTGGCAGTTTCTTACAAAACTAAATATACTCTTACCACATGATCCAACAATTTCAGTCCTTGGTATTTACCCAAATGAGGTGAAAACCCATGTCCACACAAAAACTTGCACATGGATGTTTATAGCAGCTTTATTCATAACGACCAAAACTTGGAAGCAACCAAGATGTCTTTCAGTCGGTGAGTGTATAAATAAACTGTGGTACATCTAGAAAATGGAATATTATTCAACACTAATAAGAAATGAGTTATCAAGCCATGAAAAGACATGGAGGAATCCTAAATGCATATTACTAAGTGACAGAAGCCAATCTGCAAAGGTTACATACTGTATCATTCCAACTATATGACATTCTGGAAGAGGCAAACTATGGAAACACTAAAAAAAAATCAACAGTTTCCAAGAGTTGTGGAGAGGGAGAGATGAACAGGTAGAACACAGAGGAGTTTTAGGGCAGCAAAAATATTCTATATGATACTGTAATGGTGGATACAAGATATTATATATTTGTCCAAACCCACAGACTATACAACACCAAGGGTGAATGCTAATAGAATCTATGGACTTTGGATGAAAAATATGTGTTGATGCTGATTCATAGATTGTAACAAATGTACCACTCTGGTGGGGGATGTTGATAATGGGGGCTATGCATGTGGTGGTAGGGGTTATATGGGAAATCTTTGAACCTTCCTTTCAATTTTGCTGTTAATCTAACATTGGTCTAACAAATAAAGTCTTTAAAAATAAATTTAAATAAATGTAGGCTTTGCATGCTATATGATCTATGTCACAACTACTCCAACTCAGCATTGTACAAAACAGCCATAGACTCTGGGTAAACAAATTGACATGAATGTGTTCCAATAAAACTTTATTCTGACTTTTAAAAAGCCAGTGGGCCATATTTGCCCCACAAGCATAATTTGCCAATCCTTGATATATACACTTGAACGTGGTTTGTCTCTCTGGTTCTTGACCCTCCATGCTCCTTTGGGTATGAGCTATCCCTGTCATAAGCCCCCCACCCCAGACTATTTGATTAGTGATCAGGCTTAGAAGAGGAAGATTTAGGCAAAACTAATCATGTCAAAACATGAAAGTTATCAACTTCCCCCACAAAATCTGCTCTTCTCATAATAGACCCTATCATGGTGATTGGCAACATTGTTCATTCAGGCATTGAAGTTAGAAATCTGGTTGTTAGCTTTAACTTATCTCACTCTTCACCTGCCAACTGGTTGATAAATTCTGTTGATTTCCCCCAACACTATTATATCTTTCCCCTCCTTTCCTCCCCTCATAGCCTGACTTAGGCCTAGGCTCTTACCATCTCTTGGTTAGACTACTGTAATATCTTCCAGCAAAAGCGCAGTCCCCCAAGTACATTGTGCTGTTTCACATACGTTTGCCCTACATATTTCCTTTTGCCTGGAATCCCCTCCTCCTTTAAATCCTACTCCCATCTCTTATCTTCTTGGTGAACTCCTAGTCATTATTCAAAACCCAACTGGGACTTTCCCTTTCACACTTAATGATTGCCTCCTCAAGGCTACTTGGTTTAAACAGTATACCCTTGACAATCCCAAGATACATGTTCCACGAGCCCCAAATTAATGAATATTGGAAAATTTAAGTATACATGTCAGAACCTTAGGGCTCAAATAATTAACTGGGCTACTAAATATTGTAACTAAAATGAACTCTGCATTCCATTGCATCATGAATTTAGTAACATCAACCATAAAATCAGCTTAATCTGAAAAGAAACAATAAAGATTTTATCACTTCAGGTAATTTACTGCATATATAACCATAAATAAAGAACAGAGAGCAACCTTGTAGAGACACTTGCTCCCACACAGTAGTCACACAGAATGTGAATCACACATGCATCTCACCAAAATCACAAATGTCTTCATGTAAAAGACCTTTGGAAAAAAACAGTGAGGGTCAAATCCATAAATGCCAAGAGCCTGCTGTACTTCTATTATTGTACTTGTGTCAATGAACAACTACGGCCCCAAAGAGAACATGAGCTTCTTGGGGTCAGGCCACTATTTTGTCATTCTTTTTGTACCAAAGTTGATCTAACAGGAAGCAACCACTCCAAAAACATTTGTTGAATTAAATTATCTTCTAGTTGAGCTTCCTACTTCCAGGCCATCTTCCTTTCCAAAATCCTGCCAGTTATTTCACAAAAACATATTCCTGATGTCACTCCATTTTCCCCAAAACTTTGATGGCTCTTCATAATCTGCTTTACATGATTATGTCCCCAAGCCATGCTAGGACATATAAGAGCCTTCACACCACGGCCTCATATTCCCAGTCTCATTCGTAGCCTCTCTTCTTCACACACACTCTTCAAGCCACACTAGCTGCTCCTGGAACATTTTTGGACTTTCATTACTCTATGACTATGACTTTTAAATGCTGTTTTCTCTATCTAAAAGGTCCTCCTCCTCTCATCTGCCTGGAAAACCTGAATTTATTAATATAGCTCAGCTTAAATATCACTACCTTTGTAGCTTTCCATGACCCCTCTCAGAATCACTGTCTCCCATGACCCCTCTCAGAATCACTGTCTCCCTCATTTGTTTTTTTATACCAATGTGTTTGTTCTAAAAACATACTAAGCTGATTCTGCGGGTAGGGCAAAGGGAAGGAGGGAGGGCCCTGTCAAAGGACTTACCCAAGCAGCGACTGCGGCACTACGTGTTAAGCATATCGTTCAAGCAGCAGTGGGAGGATGGAGCTGGATGGCCTTCATGTTATGAGATGCTATGGCTCGCATCTTTCACACTGCGTGTGTGTGTGTGTGTGTAACTGTGTGGGGGGCAGCAGGAGGAGAGAAAGAAAACGAAGCGGGAGAGAGAGACAGAGACAGAAACAAAGAGGGCGGACGCAGTGCAGTAAGAGCAGATGGGCGGACCCAAATTTCTTCTGCTTCACGATTTTGCGGAGGTCCAGCCCTGCATCCAGCCTTGAAACACGGGGTGGGGAGGAGGCGGAAAGGGGAGGGACTGCACTCCCTCTGAGCGTGCTAGCCCCGACTGCCTGACGGATCACCCTTCCGCTCCAACATCGCTAGTTCCTCAACGCCGTGACTCAAGCCTATTGTGCCAGGCGGGGCGCACTCAGCAGCGCAGCCCCACAGGTGGCGACGGCTCGGCGAAAGGGTTCCCGCCAGGCTAGGCAGTGGAGTGCCGCACAGCGCGCCTTCCCGCCTCGCAACCGCCACCCTAGCGGTTCCGACCCGGCGCCAGCAGGCCTGCTTGGTCGATCTTCGAGCCAAAGATGCGGCGAGGCTGGAAGATGGCTCTGTCTGGGGGGCTGCGGTGCTGCCGCCGGGTACTGTCCTGGGTGCCAGTGCTCGTTATTGTCCTCGTCGTGCTCTGGTCCTACTATGCCTACGTCTTTGAACTCTGCCTGGGTAAGTGGGGCTGGGCACCTAAGGTGGGGAAATTATGCTCCAGTATAATCGTTTGCCCTACGTTCACTCTGGTGTCCCTTGTGTTCTCAAGCCCTCTCTCTGCGGTTTTCCTTTCTCTCCCTGGAGAGCTCCTTGTCCCCAGCCTCTGGCTTCCCACAATATTTCCTGCGCGCTCCCACCAGGGTCGCACCGTGTCTCCATCGTCTCCCACCTAGGGTTTCTTATTTCTTTGCCCTACCCACAATAATGTCCTGGCTCTTCCCACGAGGGCCCCCTTTTCTCATACAGGGCAACCACCTGCACCTATACTCTCCTTCTGGGAGCCCCTACTCTACCAAGTTGAGGAAATAAGATACCCCGTGTCTTCAAACTGTTTACTCACACTAGGAATCCCACCAATGCATCCAACTAGGAGCCCCACCATTTTCCCTCCTACTAGAATCCTACTAGGATTTCCTACTAGGGATTTCCTACTGAGAATCCCAGAATATTTCCTCTCTTACTAGCTCTCCTTTTTCACACACTGGAATCTATCGTTTTCCCGTGATCCTCTCACACTGGCTGAAGTGCTTCATATCTTTGTCCACTTGTGACCCCACAGTGCACCCTATTCTACTCCATTAAGATCTTCCCTTTTCACACAGTGGTAAGCCCTCCGTTCTCTTTCCCTATGGGCTCCCCCCATTTAATAATTTTCTGTAATGGGATTGGTATTCTATAATACATCCTCTCCTCTCACACTAGAGGCCCTGATTATATTATACTGGAGTTCCCTGCAGTCTCCTACCTTCTTGCTTTGAGGAGCATTCAACTCCTTCCCATTAGGAGCCCCACATTATTTTCTGACAGCTTATACTGGTGACCCTGCTATTGTCACATGATGATAGTGCCTTCTTCCGTGTCTTTTCCCACTAGAGTCACCTCTTTTACCCTCCCACAAGGGTTTCCGTAATTTATCTCCTATTCCATCAAAGGGCCGCTACTTTTCTAACCATTATTCCTTGTTATCTTTTTTGGGAAACCCACTCCCCACCTCCCGCAGTGTTCTTTCACTTTTAGCCCCACATTCTGCCATCCTCTTCCTTTGGGGTTTCTTATTATTATTTCTTCTTACTTCTCATTGGATTGCATTTGTCCTATCTTCTCAAACTGGGGAAACCCCATTCTTTCTTACTGGGGTTTCTAATATTTTCTACTCCTCCCAATGGGCATATCATTTCTCATTCCCTCTCATTAGACTACCCCTTTTTAAATTCTATGATTTGTTTTTTACCCTGTCCTGTCACACTAAGGGGCACTCTATACCCTCCTTATTTGCAGAATGGTTCTCACACTATAGCTTGTGCATTCAAACTCAGAATTCTACAATATTTCCCGACACAAACCCCAAGTCTCTCCCCTGTATTATTCCCACTTTCCACTTTAATTCCCCCCGTTCCCCATTCTTATTATTATTGGCCTTGCAATGCTCTCATCAACTCACAGTGGCATTTTCATATTATATCCTGTCTTGTTACAATAGGGTCCCTGCTTTTCTCACAGTAAAATCTCCCCTTGTCCCTGTCTTCTCATGTTGAAGAATCCCTGTCTCCTCTCAAAAGAGATTCCACTAATACTTGTCACTCTTATCACTTTGACACTATAATTCCATCGCCAGCACCCTTAAACTTGTGGCCTACAATGTTCCCTATTCATCTAGTTTGGGGCTCCAATATGTTTATACTCCTCTCACAGTAGGACTCCTGCCCCATTGGACATCCCCTCACTCCCAAGTCCTTCTGAGACTTCTATATTTTTTCATACCAAACTCTTCTCTCACCTTAAAAATGATGGTAAGGATGCTGCTTTTTTGAACTCCGGGACCTGACTCCATTTGTAATTTTCTTCTATTACATATTTACAAAGCAATAGTCTACCCCAGGTAGACTGGGACAAACTAGGGAGGCAGGAGATGATCCTCTTTTCCAATATAGAACTTTCTATATTCTAATTCTATAACTTTCTATATTCTAATTCTAATTGCCTCTCTGAATCACAATTTGAATTTTTCTTACCTCTTTCTTAGAGATATTATGGAAAATGCAGAAAGAGCTCTTAAAAATAAATTTCTTTAGTTGCCTTCATAGATACAAGTTAGCCTAGTTTTCTTTTGTATCTCAATCCAGTATTGGGATGCATTAAGTAGACTATGCAATGACTGGGAAGCTTTTCTATTCTCAGACCTTACTACTTTGGCTTTTTGTATGATTGATTGAAGGGTCAAGAGTTCAGCAGCCTTTAACGAGTTGATGGGTGCAGCACACCAACATGGCACAAGTATGTAACAAACCTGCACGTTATGCACATGTACCCTAGAACTTAAAGTATAAAAAAAAAAAAAAAAAAGTTCAGCACCCTTATTATGGTACGGACAATGCTCCTAGGATCAATGCCATATTGTAAGCAACTTATTTTGGAGATTTTCAGTATTGACTCATATGAGCTTCACCAAGATATATTTTAAAAATTCATGATGCTAATGACTAAGACTTATATAGTGCATACTCTGTGCCAGAAAATGTTCTAAGTTCTGTAGATAAACTATATATTAATTCATTTAATCATCACAATAACTATATGAGGCAGGTACCATTACTGTTTCCATTGTATAGATGTGTAAACTGAGGCACAGATGAGCAAACCAAAGTAAAGACCAAGTTACTGCAAATAATTGGCCTTCTATAAATTCTTCTTTAGTCATGTAATATTAACAGCTGAAAGGCAGTGTAGGACTTATTTGGTTTGTTTTAGTTAACATACTTGCACCACACTGCTACATGCCAAGTACTATTTCTAGGTGACTACACACACAGACACATAATCTTTGTAACAACTTTCCAATGTATGTACTATCATTACTTGTTTGTAAACTGGGGAACAGACAGAATAAATAGCTTACCTAAGGTCACAGAGCTAGTAAATGGCCTAACTTAAAACCCAGGCAATATGTTGCCACAGTCTCCTCTACTAATACAGAGGTAAAAACTTGTGACATACAAGCCAGATGTAGCCTTCAGATATATTTTGCCTGACCTGCGCAGTGTTTTCTTAACATTTTGCATCAGTTCCCATTATTTAAAAGTCAGGAGAATAAGGCGGCTTTGAGTTTGAACTCTGGCTGAACCAGTCCACCCTGCCATCATCAATTTAACAATCTTGTAACAGATTAGCAACCTGGGTTTCAGAAAGGTTAAATTAAATTTTCCTAAGGCCACACATTTAGTAATAGTGGAGAGTTGGAAATCCAGGCTGCCTGATACCTAGGCCATACCTTTTCCAATACAAGCAAATTAACAAGTATACATTTCAGTAAGACTCAAAAAGTAACATTAAGGACCTAACTTCTTTCCAGGGATAAAACCTGATGTCTTTCTCCCTAACATTACATTAGAGCTGAAACCAAAAGTGATATTTTTGTCCTATAATTCTTAGAGTTTGAATTCTGCCATTTACTAGCCAGGAGACCTGGGGCAAGTACTTTCACTCTCTCAACCTCAGTTGTCTCACGTGTACCTTGCTTCTACAGTTGTTCATCCATATGACAAATGGTTGCTTTGCACTCAATATATGCCAGGTATTACTGCTGTGAGGCTTAAATAACATGGTGCCTGAAAAGCATGCATCACAGTTCACAACACGTTATAAGAGCTCATTAGATAGTAACTTGTGATTACTAAAGATATAAAGGATTCTTCCTGACCCAGGAAAATAAGAAGCTTAGCTTTTTAGAGAGGAAGGAAAGTAACAGTATCCATTTTATTGGGGTGAAATTTATATAACATAGAATTAACCATTTTTAAGTGTTCACCTCAGTGCCACTTAGCACTCACAATGTTGTGCAGCCATCACCTCTATGTAGTTCCAAATGTTTCTGTTATCCCATAAAGAAACCTCCTAGGCATTAAGCAGTCACTCCCTGTTCCCTCTTCTCCCAAGTCCTAGCCAATTATTAATCTGCATTCTGTCTCTATGGATTTACCTCTTATGGATATTCCATATAAATAGAATCATAAAATATGTGTTCTTTTGTGTCTGACTTCTTCCAATTAACAAAATGTTTTTGAAATTGATCCACATTGTATTATGTGACAGTAATTTATCCCTTTTAATGGCTGAATAATAGTCTATTGTGTGTATATATGTATATATACACCAGTTAGTTATCCATTCATTCATTAATGGACATTTGGGCTATTTCCACCTTTTTGTCTCTTCTGAATAGTGCTGTTACAAACATTCATGTACAAGTATTTGTTTGAATATCTGTCTTCAGTTCTTTTGAATGTATATACCAGGGAGATGGATGGGGATAATTGGACTGTATGGTAATTCTATGTTTAACTTTCTGAGGAACCTCCAAATTGTCTTCCACAGTGGCTGCACCATTTTACATTCCCATCACAGAATGATAGCACAGAAGGGTTCCAATTTGTCCACATTCTCACCAAGACTTGTTATTTTCAGTTTTATTTTTATTATAGCCATCTTACTGGGTATGAAGGGGTATCTCATTGTGGATTTGATTTGTATTTCCGTAATGACTAAAAGTATTGAGAATCTTTTCATGTACTTGTTTGCCATCCATATATCTTCTTTGGGAAAATGTCTATTCAAGCCATTGTCCATTTTTTTTATTGGGATTTTTAAATTGAGTTGTCTTTTTGTTGTTGAATTTTAATATTTTTTGCATGTTCTGAATACTTGATCCTTATTGGATAAATTATTTGCAAACATTTTCTCCCATACCTGATAGTATCATTTTATACACAAAGATTTTAATTCTAATAAAATTCAATTTATCTATTTTTTCTTTCGTTACCTATGCTTTTGATGTCATATTTAAGAATCCATTACCAAATGCAAGACCATAAAGATTTACCCCTGTGGGTTATTTTTTGTTTGTTTGTTTTCATTTTTTTTTTTGTTTGTTTGTTTGTTTGTTTTTCTTTTTATGCGGGACC